AGTAAGGGTAAACTCACTGGCATAAATGAGGATAATGAGGAAGTTGCGACAACAAGAATGAAGATACCCTGAAGGGAACGACTCTGGCAAACAAAACAAAACAAAATATTCAGACTGAAAGAACTCCTGAGATATTTTATAACATTAGAAATGCTTAAGATAAAATGTTGGAAGCAGATACATACTTAGCAAGGGAGATGACAGGGCCTGTTGTGGTATAGATTATGCAGCCACGGCCTGTTGTGGGAGCATCTCATGGCCAGGCTCCACCTCCCATCTGGTTCCCTGCTGATGTGTGTGGAGGTGGTCGAGGATGGCCCAAGTATATGAGCCTTTACACCCATGTGGGAGACACACAAGAGCTTGTGGGAGGCTGACTTCAGCCTGACATAGCTCTGGCTCTTGTGACCATTTCCAGATTGGACTAGGTAGGGTACGAAGGAGTTCTCTCTCCCCCAATTCTCTCATCCCCTCTCTTTCTCCCTTCAAATAATAATAATAATAAATTTAAAACCCCTATCTTTCAAATAACTAAAAAATAAAACATATTATAAATATGTATATATATATATAAAGAATGTAGTTCTGCATGAAAGTTGGAACCAGGAGCAAACCAAGCTGGGCAGGGTTATAACACCTGTTGACCTACATATGAACTGGGTGAGTGGGAGAGTCAGGCTGGGATAATCAATTATATTCAAAATACAGGCATGAGCCAGGATGAGGGCAGGTGGGTTGGGCTTTGCTGCAACATCAGCTGGCAAGTGCTGGGACTAGGGGCAAGTTCTGTCAAACTAGACTGCAGAACCACCTGGAGAGTGAAATATTTAGGTTAGGGAGTCAGTCCAGTGAAGAGGTTGTGGGTTCCTCTCTGATGGGCTGCAACTTCCACTGGTGAGCATGAGAACCAGGACTGGGGACAGGCCTGGCTAGACAGGTGGTGCATCCACCGGCATTAGTGTGGGCTGGAGGGTGGAGTTGGTTGGTTTGAGTTAGCCTTCACTGCTCAATGATGTGTGCAAGATTTCAACGGGATGTGGGGCAGACTGGACCAGTTCACTGCATACAATGCAAGGCACAGGAAACAGAGCTGGGGGGCCAGTCATGTGAGGATTATTGGGGGTTGCTCTGATTGGGCTGAAGCTCCCCCTGTGGTACATGAGGGCCAAGCCCATGTTGGGCAGGGTTGGGCTGGGCCGCAGCACCCATTAGTTTGCTGAGGATAGAGAGCAGAACAAACTGATCGACTACCCCAATGCAGCTTGACAGCAAATTTCTGGGCCAATGTGGACTCAGAGGTGGACTATGACAGCTGACAGACCTTGGAAAGATTTCCTCACCCTTGGAGTGGTGATATCAGCAGCATCTCAGAATTATCAAAAACACATGAACAGAACCCTCAGGAAATACTCCATAATGGGGACCTGAGGATGACAGAGAGTGACAGTTCCCTATCCCCCAGGTAATGCGGCAGTTGGGAGGCTGGGCATGGCCTCTCCTCTTGTATCCCCCTCTCCCTAATATACAGGAAGAAGAAAAAGAAAGTGTGTAACCAATGGTTTCATCCACTATCCCCTGATCCTCGACCCTTCCCAACATGATCAACTACATAAACATCATCAAAATTTTTTTTAAAATCATAGTGGAAAAAAAAGAATGTAGCTCTGGTATAAAGAATCCCTTGACCATGGGAGCATAACAGCTGTCAACCTTTAACAGAACGGTTAGCTTGGTAAAAGTCTGTGTTTTCCTTAAGACCACAAAGATCTCACAAACAGAGCTTAAAAAAAAAAAAAAAAAACCACCGTGAAGTCAAGGGACAGACCAGGCATGGTAATCAAGAACATTTAAGGAGAAGCAGATATCTAGAAAGTAAACTTCAAGGGACTGAGTAACTACTGATATGATCATGGTGTAACATATGAGAACACAAAATGTCTGTAACTAAGCAGGGGGAAAAAAGAGGAACTCTCCTGTCTAGTAGCACAACCACACAAAAAACAGGAGAGCTGTTATGAAGTCACCAAAAGAAAAGCGAACGTTCAGATCTATGACTCTCTCAAAGATGTGACACCAGGTGTAGGGCACAAAGGCACACACACATCCCTGAATAAAATGAAGGAAATCTGAGTGTTCTGGGGGCAGGAGTAATGTATGGCTCACCTCCACATCTCCCATATTAGCCCAGGGCCTCACCATCAGCAAATACCCTGCCAGCATCTGTTGAACAGAATTTGCTGCTAAGGCAAAAATAATAGCATCTAATCAGTGTGTCTACCATATCAATGTCCACCCTTCAAGGAAAGAAAATTCTCACAATAAATTCAAGATGCTGGAGGTGGCAGAGTGTAGGTGGTAAACAGCAATAGTTCCAGGGGTAGGCACTGTGCCTAGCAGCTAAGATGTATACGAAGATGCTAGAGTCATCTGTGCCATATCAGGGTATTTGGGCTCAAGCTCTTCATTCCAGTTTCCTTCAGATGTAGATCCTGACATGCAGCAGTAACAGATCAGCAGCTGAGCTCCGGCCACCCATGTGGGACACCTGCCTCTGCCTCCAGCCCTACTACAGGCCTGGCCATTGTGGGCGTCTGCAGATGAACCAGTACGAAGGAGCTCTCTTTCTGTGGATCTTTCTCTGGCTCTTAATCTCAAAAAAAAAATCCTAATACAAAAGTGAAAACTAAAACAGGATGTTTTTTCACTCATCAAATTAACAATGATTTTAGAATAAGGTCAGGATCCTGAGGTGAAAACTATGCATTCTCACCTGTAACAGCAGTTACAGATTTGGGGGAACATACAGGCAGAGAGTATCATGAGGCATAGATTTTCTCTGCCACTACCAGGATTGTATATATTTGGCAGAGTTACTTTCACAGTATCAAAAAACTGGATCCATCTCTAATTTCCACAAAGATGAGAGGTAAGTAAATTATAGAACATCCATAAAAACAGAACACAGGCAGCTATGAGAAAATTTCAGGAGACACAGGAGGAAAATTAGATGTGTAAGTTTAGAAATTACAGGAATCCATTTATGTCTCTTATTTTTAAAGAAAAATAACACAAATGAATGAAGAAGACAGAAAAGAAGGCGGCAGAAAATTCACTAGAAAACACCAATAGCTAATTTCTAGATTTAGGGACCCCGGATGACTTTTTTTTTATCATAACTGCCTGCATTGTACAAGGTTTTCTAAAATGATATGTGCAGATGGCCTTCTATAATGGTAAATTCCAAATCCATGATTCAACCAATAGAGAACTGAAAATGATCAAAAATTTGCATATACATGGAACAGACTTCTTTCCTCATTATTTCCTAACATAGTCCAACAACAATTTATAGCATATAGATTTATAGTATATAGATTATGCATAATCCAGAGGTGATTTCAAGTATACCAATGATGGGCAAGGTCACCTGGAAATAAGTCATTTTGCCTAAGAGATTTGAGCATCCCAGACTTAGGTCTCCGAAGAGGAGATCTGGAATGAATTCCCTATCGATACCAAGGAATGTCTGTATTATTATTTTAAGAAAGAAAAACATAGAAAGCTTATTTTAAAAAAATACTGAAAAGGATTTACTCTTGAGCCACTGCACTAAAAAAAAAAGTGCTTTATGATAAAGCTACTATCAGCAAACTTTACAACGCAAACTACACAAATCACACTAATGTGAATGATCTCAGAAACAGGCTTCATCCTACCCAAATCATATGACTTATCTCTTATAGCCAAGGTCTGCCAACAAAGCTAAAGCTTCCTAAAGTAAGATTCATACAGTACGCATTAGACCAACCCACTCTGGTATTTCACTAAAGGTTGCAGCATAAATGAACTCAGCATCATTTATTTCCTTCCTATGATGTTTACTGGTCTTCAATGATTGTTTCAAAGTGCTTTGGGGAGGACAGAAATAAATTTCTCATTTTAAAAGTCAAAGCACTTATTTAGACTGATCCTCATAACTCACAAATTTAGTAAATTTCTTCACCAACCTGGCATGAACACGGTTAACTGTAAACATTATTCAGAATGCAATTACCTATTCACCTCATAGTGGTAATTCTGTATTGTTTGTGTTAAATCTGACACAGCATCAGATTTGCCCTACAAGGCTGGGGTACATGATTATCACAGGGAAGCAAGATGAAAACACACAGTCTTCTAGAGGCCACAGAGCTGTACAGCGAAGATGATACAACACAGTTCACATGGGGTTTTCCCCAGGGCAAATGAACATGAGTTCAAACTGAGTATTCAAAGACAGGGGGATCTCTATGCTTCAAAGTATAGTGTTTTAATACTAAGGTAGCCTGTGACTATCAACTTTCCAAATACTGTAATACGTGAGTAAACATTTGATAATTACTAAAATGTCACATATACAAGTTTAAGGAGGTACTACTAGCATTTACTCTTTTTAAAATTTTTATTATCATTATTATTATTTTTAATTGGAAAGGCGGATATACAGAGAGGAGAGACAGAGAGGAAGATCTTCCGTCCGATGATTCACTCCCCAAGTGAGCGCAATGGCCGATGCTATGCCGATCCGAAACCAGGAGCCTCTTCCGGGTCTCCCACGCGGGTGCAGGGTCCCAAAGCTTTGGGCCGTCCTCGACTGCTTTCCCGGGCCACAGGCAGGGAGCTGGATGGGAAGTGGGGCTGCCGGGATAGAACCAGCGCCCATATGGGATCCCGGGTGTGCAAGGCAAGGACCTTAACCACTGCGCCACTGCGCCGGGCCCTAGCATTTACTCTTAAGGAATTAAAAAAATAGCTTCTTTGAATTTCAAATGGAACTACAGAAAATCATGAGCGTGCAATATACACTGCTATGAAATGATGATTAATATTCAAGGTGGCATATTCTTATTTATCACAGTAATATTCTTCCTTATCCAGTTGAAATAACACCATTTATATAAATTCCTCCTAGACACAACAGTTTCACAATGTAAACATACATGAAAAATAGGAATACTTACTTAAAATACCAAACTGTCCCCAGTAGAGAAGTATAGCCAAAATTGGGAAAATAACAATGAGAATATTTTCATTTGGAGAAAACCATGAAACTAGAAAGGAAGAAAAAAAAAAGTCCCAATTAATGTTTACTATAACCATTTAAATCTTGCCAGTTTTCTATAACATATATTTCATTGTGAAGATGGAAAATAAAAGTAGTTCATTAAAGCTATAGCCTTTAAGCACACACACATACACACACACACAAATATATTTTCAAAAACTTTGTGCCTGAACAAAAAACTTACCTTTTAAGTGTACTTTTTCTGAATCTTCTGAAGTATTTTCCTATAACACATTTTTATTTATGAAACAAAAAGTTCATTATTTTCCACATTTGTCCTAAATTGCATTTTACCAAGAACAGGGCTCCATGGCCACTCTGCCAAGCCTTAAAACTCAACTCTAAGCTAGAATCCATGTAAACGTGGGAAATATCTGACATCTCCCTACTCCTCAAAACCCATGACTGCCCAAGGTACAGGATAGCACCTATACCTTAAAGGGCTCTAGGGACTGTTACAGAGGCAATGCATGCAAAGGACTTCAAGTAAAGCTGCGCATTTACAAATGCCCACACAATTATCATCATGTGTTTCTATGTTGAATACCTGAATGTGTAGAGAGTGCCAAGAATTTGCCTTCTGGCAACCATGATGGGCTCCTACAAGGACTGATTCCGGATCTAAGGGAGGAAACTGTACCATTATATACTCTCTCCCTCCCATGACTAATATCCACAACAGAGGAGCCCTTGATTTCCCCCACACCAACTCTGGAACAGTTAGCTTGTTCATGGAAAATGAGGCTTTGCAGATTGATACTATCTATGTTAAGTAACATGAGGGGCTTTAGGTTATTAAATAATCTGCTATTAAGTGGGCCACGTGTTACTTATATGGTGCAAATATTGCCATAATCCCATACAAAGGACACTGAGATAAAAAGACTTCAAACAGGATTTGTTAAGAACTTTAGAATTAAGTTTGATTGTATCTTACAAACCAATAACACCATCATTTTGGTAATGAAATTTCTTCTCTAATAATAAAGCCAACTGAATGCTCTGAAAGCATTTTGAAATTGTCCTGTGAGGGAGGCGGGAAATGGGTGGTTTGAGAAGCACTTGCAAATATTGCCCAAAGGGAGCACTGGCATTCCTCCAAACCTCACACTCGTCACAGGAAGCCCTGAATGCCCTGCCCTGAGAATCAGCACATGAGGAACTTCACCCCAAACTGACAGCCACATATTTCTTGTGCTAAGCTGATAATGCTGACCCTGGCAAAATGCTTACATTAATCCCCAGAATATAACATTATAAACCCTATCTTAGATATGTCAGCTTTCCAGAACCGAGTGTTTCAGCCTATTCACAGTAGACACTCAATACATTGGCTTTTGGAGGTTCCTATGGTTCAAGGACAGTTCAGAAAGTAGAAAACTGTAGGTATGCTCCAAGAGAGAGACATTGCTAGATACTTAAAACTAAAATCTTAATTTCCAACTGAATACTCTAACATCTTTCCATACAAAAGAGAATCCTCTTCAATACAGGCTAAAATCGTACCAGGAAAAATATTTGTGAATTATGCTTAGTTTTTGTATAATGCCCAAAAGACCTGGCAAAAGCTCTATGAATTGATGACTGATTAATCGATTTATTTTTCCTATTCACTTCTCCTATGACTTTGAGATGTGTGTGCAAGAATTCTTCAAATCCTCATGATTATCATATGGAGGATTATTAACTCCTCCTGGCGGAGAAAGCCCAGGCACAGGGAAGTCAAGATCTTAAGCATACTTCAGTGTCATGTCCTACATGTCTTGACACCTGCCACATCAGTGTCTCCCCTACATCTCCCCTCTTAATTCTCCTCATTTTAATAATTATAACTCTACTTCTCTACTTGCTCAGGCCAAAAACCTTGGAGTTCCCTATCCTGAATCATTGGTTTCTCTCACATTCTACATCTAAACAGATATCAAATCCTCCTGGCTCTACCTTCTAATTACAACCACTGTCTGACCTTGTGTTAAAGACAAGGTAATAATGACAAGTCTCTCTAATGGGCTCTATTGTATATAATAAAACAAAGGTCCATAAACATATATTAAAAGTCCATTATGAGGAGTTCTCCCTTCCGATACTTGAAGGTCTGCAATGAACAGGACAGTATGACCTTGAGCTTGGGGGAGGGAAAAGACCTCTAGGGAGAGGAACTGGAATTGATGAACCTTTGGAGAAAAGAAACAGATGACAAAGGAACAGCAAAGTCAAAGAGCAAGAGAAGGCCACAATGACTGGAATTCAATGAGGGAAAATCAGAAAAGAGCCAGCCAGGGTCTTTATGGTGCGTTACAGAAGCATGGATTTTATTCCAAGAGCAAGGGGAGCCTTCAAATAAGGAAGATAGGAAGACCTGACTCATAAAATCTTCTTTGGCATCCATGTAGAGAATTGATCACAGAGAAGCAGAACTTGTCAGAAAGGTACAACAGCAATCAGATTGTGGAGGTCAGAGATGTCAACAAAGGCAGCCCTGAGCTGTTTACTTGCCACATCTAAGCAAGTAGCAGAGAGCTGCTGCCAGGGACGGTGGTTAGAACGGAGATACTGAAACCCTGAGTACTGGCAGAAGAAACTGAAACGTCTTATCATACAGAAGATTGAACCAAGGAGAAAGTATGCAGCTCTCTGGGTGAGTGAGAAATTACAAGGAAACAAATGTTGGCTGGACTAAAGAACTGCAACTGCCTCATATCTGCAAACGTTTGGGAAGTATCAGAGTGTCGCCATACCAAACCTTAAGATAAAAATGTTTGAATGGTCACCTTCCTGGTGCAGGACAGAAGTAATCTGTCAATTTTATAATGAGAGAGACTAGATGATTACAAGATTCTATGCAAAAATCATGAGCTAAAAGAGGACATTTCACTGACTGTGGGATTACTGAATAAAATATATTATTATCTATGTGACTCTTAAATGGAGCTTGTCAGTATCACATGTGAGTTTATTCAGGCTTCATATACTCTCCCCTTTCACTTCCATTCCAACATTTTAACACTTTCCCTGACAGAAAGTATGCAAGGATATAGAGCTACTTGTAAAATTCTCAGTTGAAACCACCATGGGAAACTTCTGCCAGAGTCATCTCATGTCATGGGCATGAAAGTGTGACCTTTCTGTCTAATTTGTTATAGTGGGAAATCTTCGAGACCAGTGAATTGGATATTTAAGAACCATCCAAGATTCTAATGTTTTATGTGAAACTACTACTCGCATGCCTATTAAGCTACCAATTAGTTACACCGAATTGCAGGATGATGTTAAATTTTGCTCCTCAAGGGGAGAGTGAGACAAGCTACTTCTCCAAGATCCCTTTTAGATCTGTGGTTCTAGTGCATAAAAAAGGAACAGTGCCTAAATATGGACTAAGAACAGTATTTGATGTTTTTCTCTCTCAGCATTCAGAAAGATAACCCAAAGGCAATCACACCCTACTCCACACAAGGTGCAGATAATAACTGTTTCTAACTCTGCCCTAATTCCTGATCAGGTGGATTGGCTCCCAGGAAATAAACTTCTTACTGGAAAGGCAAAAAGGGACATTAAGAATGTGTAGCCTGTGCATGGCTGTTTAAAATTTTTCTTCTAAACCAAAGTGTTATTTTTACCTATGAATTTAGTTAACTTACCTCTGTACAAAAATGGGACAACCAGCAAAAAGGGCCCACTATGTATGTCTCTCCTTTAAACATATACATGCACACCCCTATAAACAGGGAACACTAGCTTCCCCAGGAGATAATCACAACAAAATTTATGCACTAAAATAAAACCATTTTTGTACAGTGTGATTAAAGATTGCAATGACATTTTTAACCTGCTGATTAGCTATACTCCTCAGTTGTTTAATCAAATCCACAATACCAAGGTGGCCCCCAAATCCTGCTGTTCAATACAATTTGTGCAATGCATCCCCTTTATGGGCCAGTGAGACACAAAATGCATTGGGTTTCATTCCCAAGTTGGTGTCATGTCACCTGGATAAGGAAATTTGCTGGTATAAAGTCCTCAATCAGGTGCTTTAAGAAAGGGTAGATTATCCTTAGGTAGACAGAGCTGCCCTTTAATTAAATGATCCTCTAAGAGTGTCTAGATTCTTCCTGGCAAGATAATTTAATATATGAGAGGGACTCAGCAATATCTTCCCTTACTGGTTCTGAGTACGTAAGGAGCCATGAGGCAAAGAATGCTTGCACCCCCTAGGAATTGAGAGAAGTCCCTGACAGACACTCAGCAAAGAAACCTCAGTCCTGTAATCACAGGGAATAGGATTCTGCCATGATTTTGTGAGTCTGCAAGAGCACTCAAAACCCAGGTGAGAACAAAGCCTGGCCAACAGATCTCAGTCGCACCATGATCAGTTTTAGGTTGCTCTGTTTATAATTATTCATGACAGAACACTAGAAAACTAATCTAAGGATAGTACAGTGTCTTTGTGTCACAGTTAGGAACTGAGTGTGCATCATTCATGGAACTGGAAACTGTTGAACATGAACTGACTGTTTTAACCAGAACTAAAGTTTACAGACTTACAGAAAAATGAATTTTAAGCTTCATTTCTTAAATATCATCAATAGAAACATTAATGACTGGTTTTATAACTACTATTATTTATATTTAGTGTCTGGTTATTTACAATGACTTTTTTACAGGAAGCATAGGCCATGATGGTAAGGGTACCTTATTTCTGAAGCCAGGGAGATTTAGTTAAAATCTTGGCTATGACTCTGATCCTTTCTTTGGATTCCTCATTTGGTAAATAGTAAAAGATCCATTCACTCTCCTACAGTTTTTAAAAAGTTCACAGGACACATCGTACAGGACACAGGACACATGTACATCAGACATGGACTCCAACAGATATTAGAAACATAAAATTATTTTAGAGTTTTCATGTATTCAAACAGATGGCCCAAAAGAAATGGATGGGGTTGGAGTAAAAAGAATGGTCACCATCACCCACATCCATTAGTGCAATACAACTTTTACGAGCAATTTCTATTCCTCGTTTATACGTATATTTGAAAGAAAAAAGCACAATGTAATAAACATAATTTTTAATGACTAAATCCCCAAAACACACATGATGGGAAAGTGCCATTAAAAAGTTACATTACTGACAGGAAGAGTATATAAGTTCCTTGAAAACTAAGCATATACATGCCATGTAATTTAGTAATTGTTGAATGTACACCACAGAAATGGAAACTATGTCTACACAGAAACCTATTCCACAGCTTCACTTGTAATAGCCCCAAATGGAAAAAAATAAACAACCTCAAAGGTCATATCTTGAGTGATTTCACTTATGTAAAATTGACAAAATGACAAAATTATGTAAAATTGACAAAATGACAAAATGACAAAATAGATGGAAAGTAAGTTCTTGCCAGATTATGGACGGGGAGAGTTACAAGGCTTGACAACGAAAGGCTGGCATGAGGGAAATGGCTGGGTTGGTGGCATATGTCTATATCCTGATTGTAATGCTAATCATACAGCCATACAAGTGGTTAAAATCATAGGGAACCACACACACACTGCTCTGGTTTTCTAACACTATGATGTATTTATATAAGAGTTAACACATGCGGAAGACTGAGGGAAGGGCACACAGCAACTCTCCTCCACTCGTCCTGTGAATTATAACCTTTCTTTTTTTTTTCAAAAAAAAATCTCATATAAAACCAAGTATCTTAAACTGCTGGTGACATTTTCTATACATCTTCATAATGAAACAATGTGCTCCTGTTTTAATGACCCAAATAGGAACTTTAGCTCAAATTTTCAACAATATTTTGAGAACAAAGATGAAAATGTCACACACAAACCTATAAGTGTCTTTTCCAATTATCTTCATTTTTTATCTTCTGATTACCAGTATGCTCTCAATGATTTACACCACCTCAAATCATTGTTTTCCCATGGCTTGTTCTTTCATTCCCATGAGATCACATGACCATAGAACAATTTCAACTAGGTATTATGTTATCTGACTCCAGTGAATTCTAGTGCACATGACTGGAAAGAGCTCTCCTACAAAGCATACACGAAAAAAACAACAAAAATTCTTTAGCCCATCTTACATCAGTGGTAAAAGTTACATTAAATAAGATTTATGAGCAAGAGAGCCTTTCTAAACTTCCTTTCCTACTGAGCCATGCCCTGTCCAGTCCTCTTCCATCAAGCCCAGTAACTTGAAAATCTAGTTTAATACAGAAACATTCCAGGAAAACACACATTGGTTTCCAAAGATCTTGTGCACATGAATTCTTGTTATACTTGATAGGATATATAAATGTAAACATCTATTTTCATCTCCCTTGTGGATAGGAGAAAACGTGGACTCAGTGAAGCACCTGTTCAGGATCACAGATGTGAAAATCAGATTGCTAAATAAGGTCTGTGATTCAGATCTCTCCTTTCCCAACCCTAAGCAATGGCAACATGTTTCATCAAACTAACCACTCATTCCCAATCCAGTAACACGAATTTTCTAACATTAAAAGCTAGAGTTGTAGGTGGCAAAGAGAGGATCCAATTAAACCATTTGATTCCATTTGGAGCAGAGGTTCTCAAAGCATAGTCAATCCCAAGATCAATAACACGCCTGGTTATTTTAAATATAGCTTTCAAAATGTAAAGTCAGAATGTGTGTGTGTGTCTGTGTGTGTGTGGCTGACAAGAAACATAATGAAAGCAGACTTTTTTTCTTAACTTCAGCTAACATTACTGCTTAGTATAACTTACCAATACACTTCTGTGAAAAATAGTAGAAGCACAGCATTGTAGATAAGTCTGAACTGCAAGTAAAGCAAATTAGATCACTATCCCTCCCATAGCTAAGGAAATGAGCATCAAAGTATAACCAGACCCAAGAAGCTTCTAAGTATCACCCATGATAACCTGACATTTAATCTCCTGATTTTCTTGCTAACCTATTCTTTCCTATGGGCACATAGCCAGGATTTGCCAACCAGTGATTCATATATAAGGTTTAAAAAATTAAATTATTCCAAAAATAATAGGAAAGAATCCTGAAAATCTTGTGAAAGAAAGTGCTTCTGATGGCAGCAGATAACTGCCAAGCCCAAGTAACAGAGTTCCTACACATTTGAAACACATGCAATATACTAATACAAAACATTAAATGAATTTTACTGTGAAAAAGGGACAATAACTATGACAGAACATGTGATCTTAAAGCTGATAAACCCTGCAACACATGTTACGTGTTAGACATTTTTTGATGCAAAGGCATTCCCAGCCATATTTTGTCCCCTTTCCAACAGGATCAGATTGTAGAGGGACAAACAAAAAGGAAGCTATTATAGAAGTCTTAATGTCTCAGTCTGGCTTCTGTTGCTGTTAAAAGAAAACTCTAGCTTGGTTGATTTAATAAAAAGAGTTGATTTCAGCTTATGGTTCTGAAGATCAGAAAATCCAGGAGTAGGAACCCCATCTGCTACTTCTCTGTTGAGGTCTCTGTGCTGTTCTAACTTGGCAGAGTGGTAGGAGGGAAAGCAAATGTGTGGGAATGAGGCAAACTAGGAGGGGAGAGTCATCGTGCAACCCACTCGAGATAACTGACTCACTCTTGGGAGAATTAACCCATTCCCTTGAGAAAGGCACTGGTCCCTGTTAATGACTTAATCATCTCTACAGGATGCACCTCTCCACCCTGCCACAGAGGCGACCAAATTTCAACATGAATTTCAGAGGTCACAAATCAGAGTCAAACCATAGCACTTACCAACACGGTATTTCAGATCCACAGTTGTTTCACCTTCTCTGCTTAATTCTGTTACTTCACATGTGTAATTTCCCAGAACAGCATCATGCTTATCCATCTTCAAAGAGGCATCCCCTTTTACTAATTCCGAAACTGCGATTTTTGCACTTGAAAAGTTAGTTTCAGCTACAGTAGACTTATTCTGTCCTCCATCATAGATGAAAATGTATTTTCCTTTAAATTTCCACTTGACAAACATTTCTTTAGTGCTCTGGGCCTCCACGTTTGTAACAAAGCATGGGATGACAACAGTTTCATTGCAAAAGGTAAATTCTACAGATTTGGTTTTGTTAAATATTAGCTGAGCTGAACCTGGGAAATAAAAATAAAAATAATTCATTAGTCACAGAATTTTATACGATCTTAGTACAAATCCTTACCACAAACAGCAATACTTTAGCTGTTTACTTATGCAGTGTAGCAGTGAAGCCCACTCCCCAGGTAAAAAGCAGAAACAAATCATTTCAGTATTAACTTGTATGGCTAGTACACAAGAATATAATTTTTCTTTATTTGCTTTCAGTGATACAAAGTATACAGGTATCTTGGGAATAAATTTAGCAACTGTGACAGAACATTCAGGTGTAGCATTTGACATTTGATGCTCTGAAATAATCATTTCTGCTTACTACTGCTCATACCATGGGACAATGCTGAACAGAGAACCAAACCAAAATTATACTGAGTCTCAATTTCTATATCCTCTTCTAAACAGAAGTTGCTAAAACGATAAGAAATGTATCTTCACCCCATGCTGCATTTCCCAAAAATGTGGTAGGATCTGTGTACTATACAAACAGAATGAATCAAATCACATGTTTCCACTATGATGGAAAGCCTAAGAAAACTAACAAGAAAAAAAAAATTCTCTGTGGCTATTTTTCCACTGCAGAATACAGATAGCAATAGACATTTGTATGCAACTGTACAGAGGATGAGACGCAACTGAATGGCATGTTCCCACTCTCAATGTTTCACTGAATCTGCAGAACAATCATTCCCACGTTTATTACAGTTATTTCTCCAAGAAGTCATAAATCATTCAAAAACCCAAGGAACCAATTAAAACCAAGTGCAGGTATGGCTAAGTAAAGTAATTTTAGCAACTCGTCTCAATAAGATAATTTTTTTTTTGCTTGAAAATAGAGCAGTTGGATAAGTAAATACAACCACTCACTACTCAAGCACAAGAATGTGGAGCGGTTCTAACTGTCTTCCATAATCTTCTGTCACTTCTCTACTCTTTCATCCACAGAGTTAGTTGATGCATACCTCAAACATCAAAGTGCTGCCACAATAGCCTGGTGGCTAAATCTTTGCCTTGCATGTACCAGGATCCCATATGGGCACCGGTTCATGTCCCAGTTGCTCTGCTTCCATTCCAGCTCCCCGCTTGTGGCCTGGGAAAGCAGTGGAAGATGGCCCAAAGCCTTGGGACCCTGCACCCGTGTGGGAGACCTGAAAGAAGCTCCTGGCCTCAGATCACTCAACTCTGGTCCTTGTGGCTACTTTAGGAGTGAACTAGCAGATGAAGACCTTTCTCTGTCTCTCGTTCTCTCTGTAAACCTGCCTTTCCAATAAAAATAAATAAACCTTTTTTAAAAAAGCAAAGCACTAATAAACACAAATAAATTATCAACTTTGTAAATAGTTTATTCTTAAGATTTCTTCCTTCTATGTGAATCAGAATAAAAATCAGAAGTATAGGATTTCACTGTTTTAAAAACACAATTATTATCCAATAAATGCCCAAAAAAATGACTGCAAGGATGTATGGGAGAACATGAAATGGATAACTAAAAACTTTCTGAGTACAAATTCTATTTCTGCCTTTTGTTGTTATGTGAGCTTAAACAACACACTTTCCTATGCCTTGGCTTACCTAGCACGTAAGAGGATCGAGAAAGAATACTTAGCCCAGAATTGGGTGATTATCAAGGATAAAAGTTACAAAATACAGGTATGCAGGCCATTGTTCTGTAAAGAGTACTATGCTTAAAATGTGGGGAAAAGCTAAAACCCAGGCAATATGACATTTTAGGATAAAGAGCTGGACCTTCTCTGGCTGCTACAAATTATGTTATGTTGGTGAATTTGTAGCCTGACCCAACCCTGTAGATATCCAGAGTTCACTTTTTCTGTTGGCTACATTTTTAGCACCCTAAACAGAGAGAAGCTCCAAGAAGATCATGGACTTGCTATTGAATTTCTCAAAACTTTGGGGTTGCAAATTGTTTTCTCTGATACAGAAGCAGTTTTAGGGAGAGACTACATTATACAGGGTGGGAGTAAAAAGATGATAATAATGTTGGAATTAAAAGGAAAGCAAGCATGATGGACAAAAAGATGACGTGCTGTCCTTTCAATGGAGTATTAGGCATTATCTAGCTGATCCTCTGGGTTATCCTATTCTATAGGGGCCTGTGTCTTCTACTGACATTGGGCTATTTTACAGTTTGTAAGCTGTAGGAAATTGATGGTAATGCAAATGATTGTTAACCACAGAGATACAGATAATTTTTGTGTGTGTAATTGATTTCCACCTAGAGGAAAATAAGATTCTAAAAAATTACATTTTACAGCCTTGGGGATATTGACCAGTTTTGCATTTATCAGAAATCTCAGTATTCCTGATTGCCTTATTGTATCTATTCCTCTCATTTCAAAAAAACTCATTTTGCTTTCTTGCTGATTTGTTTTCTAATGAATGAGTGAAATGCAATCTTTGACTGATATTCATTTAGTATTTGTGTGAGTCATTTACAAAATCTTAAAACTGTATTTGTATGGTGATTTAAAAACTACCTTTTCTTTAAGAAATATACAAGTGAAAGCTCAGCTTTCCTGAGGACAGAAGTGGTTGGTAAACATTCTACAACTTTTTTTTCAAGGATTTATGTGTTGGGAAGACAGAATGACAGAGAAAAAGAGAGACAGACATACACACATAAAATGAGAGAGAAAGAGAGATTTCCAATCCATTAGTTTACTCCTCAAGTTCCCATGACAGCTGGGGCTGGACCAGGCCAAAGCCAGGAGCCAGGAACTGCAGCTGGACCTCCAACATGGATGGCAGGAATCCAAATACTTGGGTCATCATCAGCTTCCTTCCAGACACACTGGCAGGAATCTGGATCAGAAGCAGAGTAGCTGGGACTTAAACTAGGCAATTAACATAGGATGCAGCTGTCTTGTACATCAGCTTAACCAGCTGCATCATAATGTCACCTCCACACTTTAACTATGTTTAGAAAATGAATTTATTAAGAAATATAGAAAACTCCAATTACACTGCAATTCTTGTTGTTTATAGCAGAAACAATTTAAGCAAAATAAACACTGTCAGTCAAATTCAAAGAAAAACCATCCTGGATAAACCATAATCTAAATAACCTTTGCACTAATAATTAATAAATTAAGGCAGTAAAAAAAAAAATCACTCCAGCTGCCAACTACAATATTATCCTCCACAAACAGGTACCAAAAAAAAAAAAAAAAAGACTAAGCAGTAAAATTATCTGACTTAGAGTTTCTTTCAGCTAATCACTAATGAAACAGAAAACTGAAGGGAAGATCTCAAATATAGGAAACAAAGTGTTGGGCACTGGGTGTGGCGTGCTAATCTGACACTAGAGATGCCTGCCTTCCACACTGCAGTCCGGCAGAGGTAGTCTCCAGCCAGCACCTTGGCAGGAAGTATGTGAACTTGGGGCCCTTGTGACAAACTGGGGGGCCCAGAATGATGCAGGCATTTGGAGAGTGACAAAGTGGTTGGAAGCATTCTTTCTGCCTGCCCACCCTTCTCTCTCACTCTCACTTCAGCTCTGCCTTTGAAATATATACATGGAACACAGGTAACTGACTTGGATAAGAAAATTCTGAATAAGTAAAATATTTTTATAGTAGTCTAAGCCAGGAATGAGGAGATACTTTGAACTAAAACCGATAAAAGCGTTACAATTAAATTTGAGCACATAAATTATCCTCTATGAAATGGAAAGATACTGGACCTTGCAGGCTTTGGAAGCAGGCCAGGGACCCAAATGGCTACGTAGGTGAGAGATGATTTTATCCATTGCAGTCATAACATACAAGTCAGGTACAGATATGTTTGAAAAAGAACTCAACACTTGTCAAGAATTACCTGACATGAAACATTGTGATGGGATGTGAAGAAAGAAACCATATTATTAAAAAAAAAAAAGCAGATGGAAAAAAATTGGTTTGTATGGTCAAAAGTATTTGTTAAATCTGCAATAATGAGATATTATAACTGCAATGTGCTAAGGCTTAAAACAAACACAAACAAACAAACAAAAAACACCAACAGCAAAAAGACTTAAAGAGTGTAGAATGGATTCTCTTGCAGGAATTTACAATGCTGATCTGAGTTCTAAGTGTCCTATGGACACAATGCTCAGCTCTGCAGGAGCAGAGAAGTCATCACTCCACCAGATTTTGAAGATTTCTTTTGTTTCCAGGGAACAGATGATTGTCACTGTGAGCACCGATCCAGTTCCCAATCTTACATGCTTCCACATGTTCCATGGAAATCTCTTTGGCCTCCAATCCTCTACTCTCCAAAAGAGCTGCTGTATAATCAAGTTGAATCCTTCCCAGAAATGAGATGTTTGCAACACTTCTCCCCTATGGATCTCACTTTAAACCAAGTAGTCCCGGGCTTTTCCTTCTGCTTCCCCATTTTCAGAAATGAACCCCTTCACCCGAGAGCTAATTTCCATTCCTGCCTCCACACCCACCCATCTCCTCAGGGACTCACCCCATGATCAGTCAGTCACCCATATCCTGCATTTATGAAGTAATTGATTTGTGGGAACTGACACAGTACAAAAAACCAAATTAACCCTAAGTGATACTGACATTTTTGGACGTGATTAGTATTTGGAGTCACTGTCTACACTTCTGAGGAACAGTGGGGTTTTTCCTGCTTAGTGGATATTGAAACCTGCACCTGATGGAGCGTTAAGGCTGTGACTGTGAAGCGAACAGAAAGTACACCATTGTAAAAAATTAAAAGAGAGAGAAGATTAGGAAGGACAGTGAATGTGGGCAGGAAGGAGGATGGCATGGAAAGTATCATTATGCTCATAAGTGAGTACTGTGAAATATATGAAATGCTCACTTCATATAAATTAGCTAAAATGTAAAAATGAGAAAGAAAACAGCTTGGAATATTTACCAGCTTTAATCAACTCACATATGCATGTCTTTGTTTCTAATGCACCATATAAATATTTGTAACCTAGGTCCTTTCCCTCTTACCCTGCTTTTCACTACCATAGCTGTTGTCA